GCAGTTTGTCCCCGGCCCTGGTTGAGTCATGTGGAAGGCAGCCACTCGATGTGTCCCTTTCACATCGATGTTTCTCTCTCTCTCTCTCCCCCTCCCTCCCACTCTATCTGAACAAAAAATGGAAAAATGTCCTCGGGTGAGGATAAAAAAAAAAAAGAGCAACGGTTTCAAATAACTAATCCACATCTCTACCTCAAGAAACTAGGGGAAAACAGAGCAAAATAAACTCAAAGGAAGTAGAAGGAAGAAAATAATAAAGAGTAGAAATAAATGCAATTGGAAACAGAAAAAGAAAAAAGAGAAATCCGTGAAATAAAAAGCTGGTTCCTGGGAGGGGTGGGGCGGGGCAAGAAATCTGCTCAACCTCTAGGAAGATGGACAAAAAGAAAAAGACACACACCACCATCAGGAAAGAAACAGAAGCTGTGACTGCTCTCACCGCTCCAATTCAGCACAACACTAGCAGTCCTAGCTGTTGCAGTAAGGCAAGAAAAAGAAATAAAAGGCATACCTACTGGGAAAGAATAAATAAAACTGTCCCGCCCTGGCCAGTCTGGCTCAGTGGTTAGAGTGTCGGCCCGCGGACCGGAGTCCTGGGTTCGGTTCCCGCTAAGGGCATAGACCTCAGTTGCAGTTTGTCCTGGGACCCGGTTGGGGTTGTGTGGGTGGCAATCACTCTATGTGTCTCTCTCATCAATGTTTCTCTCGCTCTCTTCCTCCCTCTCTCCCTCCCACTCTATCTAAGATACATGCAAAAATGTCCTGGGGTGAGGATATAAAATAAATAAATAAAAAACAAAAAATACTGTCCCTATTTGTAGATAACATGATAATCTATGTAGAAAATCCCAAAGAATGTACAGGAAAACCCTAGAATCAAAAAGTATATCCAGCAAGGTCACAGGACACAAGATGGGAGACACAAAAAACAATCACACTGCTGAAGACTGTAGACTAATGATGGGCATTTGGAAACAAAAAATAAAAGCACAGAATCATTTACAACTGCTCCAAAGGAAATGAAATACTTTGTATAAAATGTTACAAAACACAAGCATGATCTATATGCTGATAGTCACAAAATGCTGGTCAAAAATAACCTAACTGAAGACATATCATGTTCATGGATTGTAAGACTCCCCAAAACAGAGATGTCAATTCTCCACAAACTCATCTGTTGGTTTAATGCAATTGCTGTCAAAATCCAAGCAAAGTTTTTTTAAAATAGACATAGATAAACTTATTCTAAAATTTATATGGAAAGGCACAGTCCCGAGGATAACTAAAACAATCTTGAAATTGTTTTTATCTGATATTAAGGCACTATATGGCTATGGTAATCAATATAGTGTGATATTGGCAGAGGAGAGACAGACAGATTAGTGGGGTGGAATAGAATACCTAGAAATAGACCCACACTGATTAAAAAAATTTTTTTTAATTTATTGAGTTTTTTAGCCGGGAGGGGACAGAGAAATATCGATTTATTTTCCACTTATTTATGCATTCACTGGTTGTTTCTATTATGTGCCCTGACCAGGGTCGAACCTGCAACCTTGATGTATGGGGATGATGCTCTAAGCAACTGGCTACCAGGCCAGGGCCAACCCACAGTGATTTTTGACAAAGGTGCAAAAGCAAGTCAATGGGAGAAAGACAGTCTTTTCAACAGAGGTTGCTGGAACAATTTAATATCCACAGACTAAAAAAAGAACCTTTACCTTATACAAAAATTAACTCAAAATAGATCAGGGGCTTAAATATAAAAATGTAAATCTATAAAACCCGTAGAAGACAAGAGAAAGTGTTTGGGACCGTCAGCTATCCGAAGTGTTTTTAGACGTGACATCAAAAGCGTGATCCATCCACAAGGGGGAAAACTGATGAAAAGAATCATCAAAATTAAAAGCTCGGCTCTGTGAAAGTCAAGTGGATGGAAAGAAATGTTACAGACTGGGAAAAATATTTGCAAACCATATATTTGACCAAGGGCTGGCATCAATAATCTCTAAGGAATTCTCAAAACTCAACAATGAAAAGCAAACCATCCAATGGGAAAGGGGTCAGAAGTGAAGAGCCACCTCGCTGCAGAGGCTGTGCACACGGCACACGAGCACACGGAAAGGTGTGCACCATTCTCCACAGGGACTGTGACCCGCAATGCAGCCAGGTAGCTCTCGCACCCAGCAGGGCGGAGGAACTAAAAGAGCGACACCACCGAGTACCAGCGAGGGTGCGGAAAAGCTGACCTCTCCCAGTGCTAGTGAGGGTGTAAAATGGTGCAACCACCTTGGAAACAGTTTGGCAGTTTCTTGTAAAACTAAACATGCAGCTACCATACAACTGACCAGTTCTACCCCAGATACATGAAAACCTATGTACACACAAAACACATACATAAATGTTCATAGAAGATTTGTTCATGAGGCAGAAACGGAGAACAACCCAGGTGTCCTCCAACTGGTGAATGGTTAAACGGTACACTGCGGTATATCCACATCATGGATACTACTCAGCAATCAAAAAGCACAAACGATTGATTATTGATACATGAAACAACTTGGGTGAATCCCCAGGCGGTTTTGTTGAGTGATAGAAGCCAATTCCAAAAGATCACATTTTGCATGATTTCATTTATAATACACAGTATTCTTGAAGTGACATAGCAAAAGTATACAACTGGAGGATAGATCCGGCACTGCCAGGGTGGGGAGTGGCTATAAAAGGTGACGCGAGGCATCCTGATGGTGACAGAATGTTCTGTAGCTTTCCCAACGTCAACATCCTGGCTGCAACACTGCACTAGGTTTTGCAAGATATTACCATGGAGGGTGACTAGGTAGAGGGGACACGGGATCTCTGTGTTACTTCTTACAACTGCATAGGACTACATGATTATCTCAACATTTTAAAGTTCACGAAAAAAGTAAAAAGACCGGCTTTGCTTCCCAGCTCTGCCACCCGCTATTTAGGTAGCTGACTGTGAGCAGATTTTAAACGCTCTATCTTCAACTTCTCTAAAGCTAGTGCTTTAAAAACAGCCTGTTAACACTAAATCTGTTTTAGACACAAATATCATTCTGAGCAGCCTCATTCAAATGTCCACTATTAAAAACACTACAAAGCAACTTGCTTAAAAAGTCTCTTCCCAAAGTGCTGTCCAAACAGAAATGGGGGGAGGGCAAATTCTGGTTTCAGAACGAAAGCTGAATTTCTAATGAGTTACCGAAACAGTCACAACAAATAAAGTGAGTTTAATATGGAACTATAATTAGTAAAAATGTTGGGAAGGAGAAAAGGGTTCTGGTTAGAAAATCTTGTTTCTGTTGATAAAGAAGTCAGTAAAAGTTAATATTTATATGCATCGGGAAAAGCTTAAGACGGAGTTTTCTAAAACACACTTAAACACTGATTCAAATTTAAGATTCCACGTTTCAAAATATTTTCTCTGCCTCTTGAGTTTAAAGAAACTAGGAGACAGTCAGCCAAATCTTTATGCTTATACCTGCCTGCTTTGGAGTTCAGAAAAGCAGCAAAAATAAAACCTGGCTCAGAAACACAATCAAATGCACTTTACCCCAGAAAATGAGGGGAATTTTAAACACACAGCCGATCCCCTGAATCACCCTGGGCACCTAGCCTTTAAAGTTGAAGTGCTGGGCCCGGAGCTCTGACTCATGGGCTTTTGAAAGAGGTGAAAAGGAAGGGGGTGGGGGGTGGGCGGGTATCATTCAAGTTATTCTCTTCCTGTCCTGATCCGAAAAGAGCTATTTCTGTCCCGATGAAATGTTTTAATCACAGACACATAACGTGGGAATGCTGGTGCGAGATTCCCGACGCAGGCCTGGAAGTTGAGAGCCCAGGGTCCCAGCATCCAGGTCCCAGCGAGGAGCCACCTCATCTCCCAGGCTGGAGGCTTCCTCTTGGGCCAAGAAGGAAAACGTGCCAGAAGGGATCTACCGCCCTTCGCTAAATTGAAAGCCCTGGGGCACTGCACCAGGCAGTCTCCAGGCAGCTCCCTGGTAGGACGCGCTGCCCTCTCCCTCGGCCTCGAGACAGCTTTCCCCATACCTGTCATCTGGAACCACAAACGAGGCCTGGGAAAGGGCAGATAAGAAACTTTAAAAAAAAAAAAAGAAGAAGGGAATTGGCCATAGCTAGGTTTGGGAAACCACTTTCCTCTCCTCATCGGTTTTCTCCAGGTTCTGTGGGGTCCTTTAGCACAGGCTCAGAGAGAAACGAGCACCCAGACTTTGGCGACTCTACAGGGTCCCCCCCCCCCCATACACCGTAAAGAATAAAAACGGAGCAAGAGACAGAAGGAGACCCTGGAAATCGCACAGCCCTCGAGACACCGCTACTGCCCCGCCAGGGCTGACGTCGAACCCCGACACCCGCAAACAAAGCAACGCTGCGCCGCAGAGGGCTCGGCCCCGGCGGGGACCCGAGGACACCCAGCACCACGTTTCCAGGCCTGGTCAGGGGGCTGCGGGGACGTTCACAGCCGAGGCCGCGTCTCCCGGCGCATTTACTCGAAGACTCCCCTACGTCACCCTCCGGGTCCGGGGTTTGCGCCCAGACCGCGGGGTCGGGGGGCAGGTGAGTCCTGGTGAAGGCGGGGCGGGGCGGGCGCGCGCAGCCCGCTCCCCTGTCCCCCACGCCGGACGAGCTGACGTCTCCCGGGCAGCGGTTTGGGAGGAGAGGCCGCGGCCGGCTTCCTCTCCGGGGACCGCTGGACTCGCGGAGGGCAGGGCCGGGCCGGCGCCCCGGCGGGGACGCGAAGGCGCGGGGGCCGGGGCGCCCTTCCCACCGCGCACACCCCGCCCCCACCGCCCCGAGTCCCCGGGGAGGGCAGGCGCGAAGGCCGCCGGCCGGCGGGCGGACGGGGCGCGCCCCCAGAGCTGCGGCTCGCGGCCCGGCGGCTGCGCCCCCCCGGGCGGGCCGGGGCCGCACCTGCGCGCACCTGGGCGCACCGGGCGCAGGTGGGCGGCCGCACGCACCTTGAGGATGTTGTCGAAGATGGTGTCGCGGAACTCGAGCAGCGCCTTCTGGTCGAACTCGCGGCCGTGGATGATGCGCATCTGCTTGAGGAAGGTGGACTTGCCGCTCTCGCCCGCGCCCAGCAGCAGGATCTTGACCAGGCGCCGCACGGCGCGCCGCTCGCGGGCCAGCCCCGCGTCGATGTCCCGGCTGCGCCGCCGCGCCTCGCGCTCCGCGTCGCGGGCCCCGCCGCCGCCCGCCCGGCGCTCGCGGGCCCCGCCGGCCTCGGCCGGCAGCAGGCAGCGGCTGAGGGTCCGCACCACGCCGGACATGGCCGCTCAGGCCATGGACCCCGCCGCGGGCGAGGCGAGCCCCGCGCGGCAGCCGGCCGCTCCCTCAGGCCGCGTCCGCCGCCGCCGCCGCCGCCGCCGCCCGGAGGCCCGCTCTCGCCCGCCGCTCGGCCCCGGCGGAGGGGCGAGGCGACGCGGCCCGGCGCCCGGGGATTGGGCGGGCTGCTGCCCATACGGGCGAACGCGCCCTCCGATTGGCCCGTGCCACGCCGAAAGGCGGGCATCCCTCCGGCTTTTGGGACGGGGTCGCGGCCGAAAGAGGCGGGATCTTCGGGGTGGGGGCGCTTCTCCTTGGACGTCCGTGCCGAGGCTCTTTCTTTCAGAATGAAAGGGAGGCGGGGTCACCGGGGAGGCGGAGCGGCCGTCCGCCATGACCAATTGTAATTGCTCTGCGATCACGTCGATCACAAGAGAACGAGCCTACGATTGGGGGGTTTCGCGATACGGGGCGGGACCAGGAGTGCCAGGTGTACAGAAAGTCGCCCTGGGTTCCCAGACTGGATCAACCTGTGAGACCTGGATCCTCGCTGCCTGCTCCGTGTTGCCTGAAAGCTGGGGAATGCCCATGCGAGGTCCAGCTGCTCGTCGTGTGTGTGGAGAGACCGCTGTTTCTACCATTTTCCTTTCAGAAACACCGGAGGGGGATGGGCCATACATTTCAGACAAATGCACCCATTGAGAGCGGCATGGGCCTCTGGGCTGCTTTCGTGAAAGCTGGCTAATCATCGGAAATCACCAGAGCCCCCCACCCGCCCCGGCCCCAAGCCCTCTGGAGCAGTGATTCAGAGCCGGTCTGGAGCTGCTGAGTCTGAGCCGGAATCTGTATTCCACCCCTTACTAGATGACTAGTCAAATAACCTCTTAACCAGACTCCCCTCCCCCATACCCGTTTTTAGCTTCATTTTCCTCATCTGTAAAATGGAAACGATGGTAGCAACTACCTCCCATGGCTGTGAAGCTATAAACTGAGAACACGGACTTGTAAACCCTGAGCATGGTGCCTGGACCCAAGTACCTTCCTGCTAAGAGTTGGCTGATCTTACTACAGAGTCTTAGTGGGAGTCAGAAGCTCCTGAGAAACTCGGGTATCTCTTAATCTCCAGGTGATTGGCCGGATTTGGGGACCATGGTCTGTTAAAAGATAAACTGAGGCATATTAATAATTTTAGGAGTCTGAGCCCTGGCCGGTTTGGCTCAGCGGTTGGAGTGTTGGCCTGTGGACCGGAGAGTCCTGGGTTCGGTTTCCGCTAGGAGCAGTACCAAAAAAAAAAAAAAAAAGAGTCTGAGCAAAAATTGATTCCAGTTGGGCAGTGCCAAACTGAACAGAGCACTGCCCCCAGGACAGTAGCCAGGGCAGAGACTTCAGAGAGAAAGCAAGGAAGCAGAAAAAGGAAATGATTTGATTGGCTGTAGCTTGGAAACTAGTTGGTTGTTTGTGATGGATTGTCCTTAGTATCTTGATTTTGTAACCTTGAGGCCCTTCCACCCTTAGATTCTGGTTTTCTTGCATAGGCCACCTCAGTCTCGTGATCGCCTTGTTGAATTAATTTAACAGGTGTTAAGGATCATCCTGTCCAAACCCTCCTTCTAATCATGTACAGGTGGATAAAATAAAGGCCAGCCCCAAATGACTGACCCGAGGTCCCACGCAAGGGCTGACTAGAACCCTTCTTTCATTTTGCCTCTAATTGCAGAGGGGTAGGTGCTCTAGAAAATATCAGTGAATGTGATCTCATGCAGTTCTACAGATCATTTTTTTTTTTGCAAAGTCATGAAAATGCCAGGCACTGAGGACTTCTGGAGAGAAATCTGAAGACAGATAAAATGCAACCTTTTAACCAAGAAATTTACACTTCAGATAGGGAGCCAGACCCTCAAGTCACCAGGCTAGTCAGATGACCAAATCCCTAGTTTCTGCCTGAGAACTGAGAGAGCCATGGTATTCAGTGTTTTAACTCAGAGATCTAAACTCCCTGAGGATCTTGAAGGCCTGTGGTGTGGCATTTGTCAATTGCTGAGAAGACATGAATTTGTGTCCTTCATGAGTCAACACATTATCTAGTCCTTTGTCATCCTTCACAAGGATGAAAAAAAAAATAGGAATGTTGAACAAGTAAGGAGAGGATTGTGGGATTCAGCAATGGGCCAGAGTTAGCTTGCCATGCAGTTAAAAGAAGTCAAGGTGATTCAGAAAACACTTTGAGCAGAGATGAAGAAGAACCAAAGAATACGTCTAAGAATAAAAACTACAACAGTTGAAATAGGAACTTAATAGATATAAGTGGCAGATTCAGACACAGATGAAGCGAATACAGGTCTGGAGAAAAAAAAAAAAATGACCCAGAAACCAGTACAAAGATAGAGATAAGAGACAGGAAAGATAGAGGAGAATCTCTAACATATTTGTAACCAGAGCTCTAGAAGGGGACACGGAATGAGGAAGAGGTGACATTTGACGGGATGATGGGTGAGAATTTTAAATGAACAAATGACACAGAATGTTAGCTGGAGAAATGGAAGGAAATCCAGACCAAGATACACCACAGCGAGACTGAGGGCATCAAAGACAAATAGAAGGTCTTAGAAGCAGCCAGAGAGAAAGAAAATAATAATAGCTCTTTACATAATAGTTACCGAGTGCAGGGCCCCACGCCAAGCACATTGCACATGCTACCTCACGTAACCCTCAGAGGAACCACATACCCTCAGAGCTGATATCTCAGTGACAAAAGTGGAAGCCAGACGGGAAAACGCATCTTAAGAACATTGGGAGAGCTCTTTCAAGAAAATGGAGATGAGGACATTTCAAACAGATGAGAGAGATTATTTTATTTATTTATTTTTTTATCCTCACCCGAGGATATTTCTCCATTTTTTGTACAGATAGAGTGGGAGGGAGAGAGAGAAAGAGAAGGAGAGAGAGAGAGAAACATCGACGTGAAGGGACACATCGAGTGGCTGCCACCCGCACGACCAACCAGGGCCGGGGACAAACCGCAACCGAAGTACGTGCCCTTAGCGGGAACCGAACCCGGGTCTCTCCGGACCACAGGCCGACGCTCTAACCGCTGAGCCAAACTGGCCAGGGTGAGAGAGATTATTTTAGATACCGTGTGCTACGGGCTGAATTGTGTCCCCTCCCCAAATTCATAGGTTGGAGCCCTGACCCCCCGTTACCTCAGAATGTTACTGCATTTGGAGACAGGGCTCCAAAGAAGGGATTGAGCTACCGTGAGGTTGCCGGGGTGGGCTTTGATCCCATATGACTGGTGTCCTTATAGGAAAGTGAAATTTGAACACAGATGCGGACAGAAGGTAGACCATGTGAGGCCATGGAGAGGATGGCCATCTGTAAGCGTCAGAGAGGGGCCGCAGTAGACACCGACCCTGCCAACATCTTGATCTTCGACTTCTAGCCTCCGGTTGTGCGAGAAAATAGATTTCTGTTGTTAAAACGCCAGGCTGCGGTCCTCAGTGATCTACCCGGCGTGCTTCAGGACAAAGGACAACTGTCTCCAAGGAAGGCCTGCCATCCACACTGGACAGTGGACACTTGGTGAACATCCAGGTGACTCTCATCACTGACTGTATTGAACGACCACAGTTTTAACTTGCGGAGTGAAGAAATACAGAATTAGGATACGGGACACAGGGAGGGGTGTGTCAGGACGGGCGACCGTAGTTCCAGTGTTCTAAGATCTTTGAATTGTTTGAGAGGAGAATAAATATTCTGATTCATGTTAAACTTTGTCGAGTTACATAGTCATGTTAAAATTCTTGGGGTAGACATGAAAGAAGAGACATAGAGTGCGTGAACTCCACGCAAGCAGAGGGGCAGCAAGAGAGCAAAACCAATCAGTGCAAAGAATGCGGAAGGAAGGAAGGAAGGAAGGGAGGAAGGAAGGGAGGAAGGGAGGAAGGAAGGGAGGAAGGGAGGAAGGAAGGAAGGAAGGAAGGAAGGAAGGAAGGAAGGAAGGAAGGAAGGAAGGAAGGGAGGGAGGGAAAGAAAGAAGAAAGGAAGAAAGCAAGCAAGCAGAAACCTAAGACTAAAAACAAGACAACTTGAGCAAAATGAGAAGGTGGAAATAAACCCAAAGCTATGGTCCACCAAGTTAAATGTAAATAGACTAAAATGGTTAAAAGCTAAAGACTGCCAAACTGGATAAAATAAAAACAAGGTTCCGATACATGCTTAGAAAGGACATACTACTGACCCAGAAGAGATCAAAGTAAAAGACAGAATGGAGGAAGACTTACCAGGCAAATAGCAACCAAAGGAGGTCTGGCATGTCTGTGCGTAGGAGACAGTAGGTTTTAAGACTACAGCTCTCGTGATGGAGAGAGAGCCCTGCGTACAACGGAAGGTTGAACTCACTGGGAGGTACACAAGCCTAAGCTTGCAAGCTGCTCATTACAGAGCCTCAAATACGTACTTGAGGCAGAGAAACTGACGAGCCTCAAGGAGGAACTGAAGAACCCACCCTCACGAGTGGGGTGAGGCTGTGGGGTTGCACACATTTCTTCCCGTGCGACAGTGAACAAGTTTGAGCTACCGAATATCCGCTCAACGGCGAACCCCGTGATCAGAGAATACACATTCTGCTCGAATCCCAGGGACATTTTTTAAACTGTGACCACATAATAGGCCATAAAGCAAGGGTCCACACATTTTAAAGGATTGATATCATGCAGCCCACATGTGTTGACCACGTTGCAATTACATTCGATACTATAACATAAATCTCTCTTCTGAAAAGTCCAAAGTCACAGAAATGAAAAATATACCCTCCACGTAAGCAGCCCAGCTTGCCGAACTTGTTTGTTACTGCAGCGCAGTAGGGTCTGGTTGTTCCTTACTGCCTGGGTTCTGGTTTGCCCTGACCATGCAGTCTCCATGAGGCCACGTGGTCTGACCCCCGAGGGCAGGGCTCTGCGGCCCATCTGCCTGCCTGCGCGTCCTGGTCCCGTCCTCCACCGCTGTG